TTCCCTGACATCCATAGTTCTTACATTAATGCATAATAAGACAGACAAGCCTAGAACCCACCGATCCCGGCAGAGGTTTTGGCTTCAAAGCATTAAAAGAAAAGACTGTTGAGAACCCTCAAGATCAATATTTTGTTGAAAAAGTTCCCCAAACTAATCCAAGAAAAGAGCGTAGTGTAATCTTTCTTTGAGGTTGAAAGGACTAATTTCATGCAGAAAAAGATTGTATCTCGGGCTGGCATAGGAATAGAAAATAAATAGGTATTAAATTACATTTGGCTGTTTCAAAATAATCTAATAAAGCATCTGCTGGATCAATAGCTGAATCGTTATCCAAGGCACATAGCAAGCTTTCCCTTTTTTAATTTGAGATGCAAGAAAGAGGTTTTTGCATTACCATAATAAAAAGAATAATACTTTAAGTCTTCACAGGAAAAAAGCAGAGGTAGAGGAAAAAGAGAGCCACACTTTATGCCTTAAGCAAGTGTCATTTTTCATTTGAAACATGTAATTTAGGGATATTGTGAAATAAAGTTTTTATATTTAATGACTGTCAATCTGTCAGCTTTGCTGAGCTGTTTGACAAAAAAAACCCAACCCAGAGTCCGTGAAAGACGACTTTGTGTGCAGGAAGAGAGGGGAAGGGCGAGACAAGGCTTTCAACTACTTTGTTCTCCCAATTAAGGCTCTCTGGAAAAAAAAATAAAAAATGATGGAACAGTTATCCACTGAAAATGCAGTTTCATCAAAAGAAAATGAGATCTGCCTGTGCTGACTGCTGCTCACCGCTGCAGCGTGCGCGGCCACAAACGCGACTTATATAGGGGAGAAACTGCAATCGCATGCGGACCGCTGCAAATAAAGCAGGGATAATGGGGATGTGTTATCAGCCTTTCAAATATTGCAAAAAAAAAAAAAGTGTACCACATCGTGTAATAAATATATAGAGAAAATATAGTCTTGGGAGTCAGAATAGGAAAGAGCAAACTAACAAGAATACATCTCCGTATTTAAAGCAGTGGGACTTGAGGTAGCGAAGAGGGATCTCAAATGATACGAAAAACATGACAGAGGATGAGGTTATCCCCGAGGACAGTGGGT